CCATGGCTGAGCAAACAGATTTCGCGCTATTTCTGCCCCATAGTTTGTCAAAGGAGGTTCTCATCTAGCATCCAGAACGCGTCAAGAAATGTATTTGCAACTGAGTTATTAACGAAAGAGAAAGTCGATGAAAAGAATCGAACAAAGTCACTTACATCCCTTTTCTTCTAACACCTTCAATTTTGAGACAAAAAAAATGTAAGGAGAAGAAAAGGTAAATTTACGGTAGTTTTGTAGAAAGAAACTATCATTTGTTTATTTGTAGTGGAAATAGCTCTAATGTTGGCCTATAGGTCTAAGATTGGGCCCATCGCTGAAAATCTGCTATTTATCAATTTTATCTAGATAAATGCGTCATTGAGACGGTACTCATGGTCACTATTGAAAATTTAGTCGATTGCTGAATTTATGTATGGGCCCAAATTAGGGACATTTAGGCCGACATTACATCCATTTCCCCTAAATTGAAAAATTCAACTGACAATTATTGTCTAAATGAATAAAACTTAAACTAAATAGCTACGGTCAACGGTACGGAAAATGAGGATTGTGAGATGAATTGCAAGGTATTATAGAACAAATTCAGGGTTGTTACAGAAATCTTTATTTTAAATCATCCGCGCCAGGATTCCAAATCCGCACCATAGAAAAATATTGAATTTACAACTGAAATACCCACAAACTATTTGAAATACCCACAAACTATTAGAAATACACTCAACAATTTTTAAAACAGCCCTAAACTAAAATTACATCGAGCCTCCCAATCTTAGAATCTATGTACGGGAGCTTGAGTACTTGACACTACTTAGGCTTGGAAGTCTATATGCAGAGAAAAAAAATAATCATACCCGTCAAAAGATAGGCACTTATAACGGAACTACAAGGAAATTACTCAACCCACTCCAAAAGCGGTTCAGCCATAAGCTGTGAAAAGAACTATGATTAGTTTTTCAAAATGAAAAAAAAAATAGTCTAGAAGGGGAAATGGCTTTAATGTTGGCCTATGGATCATCTAAGATTGGGCCCATCGCTAAAAAGCTGCTATTTATCAATTTTATCTAGATGATCTATTGAAAATTTAGTCGATTGCTGAATTTTTGTATAGGTCCAAATTAGGGGTATTTAGGCCGACATTACATCCATTTCCCGTATTATGAAAATTGTAATGTCCCCCCAGAATCAGAAACGTCCCAGATCATGAACATAATCTTATGTCTGGGATGTCTAAATGTTGTCTAAGAACGGGACAGAATTTCGAAATGGTGGTCTTGGATCCTTAAATTAGATCTAAGCCTGAACAAATAAAAATCTCTTTTCAGAAACATACCATCTCTGATCACGTCATCCTTCGGAGGGGAAGTAAATCTGTTTGGTCCCGGTCTATGAGTTGATGGGTCGATAGGTAGGGGCCAGGTGTGGGAGCTGCCTTCCTGGCGTCGGTAGCATTGGTATTCAGTACGGAAAACAAGATCTCAGCAGAATCTTAAACCATATTCTAAATTTAAGATTTTCAAGATGTTACAAAAACCAGAACTTTTGAAATTCGTGTAGTTCTGGAATTTTGCCATCTAAACTGTCCTAGAGCTCCACGGTTTTTTTTAAAGAAACAGATGAATTTGAAGCTTAGGGAATAGAAAGAATTTGCAGCCATTCTTAACTACAAGTGAGGGCCATGACCACTTTTAATATTGATCTTTAACTATTTCTTATGTATTCATAGCACAATCGTAAATTGTTAAAAATTCTTAAAGTTCTGGGTTTCTGGGGCTCTTGTGCAAGCACCTCTGGAGATTTTACACAACATAAATATTCCCAAGAATGCCAAATATCTTTGCGTAGCTCGGGTCGGCACTCTAGGTTTCTGATTAGTGTTTGCATTCCCGGGAACGATTTCCCGGGAAAAGAGATTTCCCGGGAAATAAGTTTTCATTTTCCGGAATTCCCGAATTTCACGGCAGTCCCTGGTCCATTCATATTAAAACGATTTACGGTTTTTACGAAACTTGTCATCGTCGTCGGTGCCGGGTTTGAATGGTTAAAACAACTCGAGTAACGGTATGATGTGATATGAGGAGCTCGGTGGACTTAGAGCGACCGTTTTTTCTTACTGAGCAGAACATCATCAAGGCCATCCACATTCAATTATGACTACTAACAGCAACGCGATGATTAAAAAGGAGATCGATTGCCTAGTGGCAAACGTTTTTGCTTACTGAGCAGAAGCTCGTGGGTTCAATCAAAAGCTCCTTCGCGTTAGGACATCAATTCAACTTATCATTTACCATAACGAATTCTGCTGCAAACCAAACCCAACCCAACATCCCAGTGATTCCTCGTGGAAGTGCAGAGGATTTCTCTGCTTCCATAAAAGCGAGTGTGACGTCAACACATTCCTACCCATTTCATTCTTGACCTGCGTTCGGGCGCGGCTGGCGCTGGTATTGTCTAGTTTGAGATCTCCAGTTTTTACACATTGTGGATGAATTCTAATATCATGCATCGTTTATTGTTTCTCTGTGTAATTACAGCTGATCTAACAATAAAAAATTAGCAACCGTGGGCGATCAATTATGCTCACGCCCATAGATTTCGTCTACTTGAGTGAGCATGCATACCTTCCTAGAAAAAAAAAAACTACTACCATTTGAAAAGGGCTGAACTTCTATTCAATAGTATTTACAATAAAATTATGAAATTAAAAATAATAAAATATACACAAATTTGGCAAAGAAGAATTGTACAAAAATATCTTAACATACGAAAAAAATATATAGATTATGAAAATGTTCTTAAATTGAGAAAAATGCATTCAATAAACCAAAATGTTAAAAAAAAAAATATTTGAAAATTATACAACATATTTCCATGAACAATTATGAATAAGATTTAATTAGAAAAACTTTTTTCACATCAATCAGGATGTCAAATCAATGAAGAAAAAAAACCTTAAATTCCCTGATTTCCCAGTCTTTTTCTGAAAAGTTTGAGACAGGGTTGTAGTGACACAGTAAAGTAAATCATTAAAATCTATTGGATGATATTTTTTTATAGTTGTGGATTTTCCTAATTTTGGTTCCTAGAAAAGAGGAAACCATTGTTTCCTATGCATTCTACAATTTTAATAACACTATCGCAATTATAGGTTCAATACAACATTATTCGTTTCCGGGCAAATATCAAATTGAATGCAAATTAAATTCCGCCATTATTTGAGCATTCCACAAGAAACCCATTAAAATTTTCTAGATTAATAAGTTTTAAATATTAGCCGGAAGGTTTTGAGGCCATGCTGCACTGCGTTGTTCGTAATATTCTTTAAAATTTTATATTTAAAATTTGATATGGGGAATAAATATTACAACCAATAACAGAGCCCATACGGCGAAATTAGTTGATATATTTGATAATCGTATAGATTCAAATATCCCTAAACAAAATGGAAAATATATATAATCAACCACCATGTTTGGATTTAAAAGTATATATTTAAAATGTTTTGAGAATTCAACCTCAAGATCTAAAAAAAAACTTATCAACTTATCTGAATCTTGGTGGATTCGAAATTTTCTTATCATTTAAATGCTAACGAATATTGAATTTTTTCACAAATTCGAGATCCATTTTCTTAAATCCTTTGGGTTTGGCATTAAGAAGGCCAGGATAATTTATTTCAAATCCAGGATTATGATTTATTATATTTAAAGTAGTTTGTCAAAAGTAATTAAAAGTTGAATCATAAATGTCTTAGTTTAGAATCTTGAAAATGTGTTTTAGGCTAAATCCTATTGGGTCACGATATTTTTTCGAAGTCTTGGATCATAAAAAAAAATAAAAAAAAAAACAGGATATTGAACATTTTTCTTCATTTTGCATATTAATTTTTTTTTTTACAAGTTCGATGATCTTGTAAGCTCAAGATGTCTGGAATAATTTTATTATTTCAATGCCCGTGACTTTGCATTTTTTTTTTTCAATACAGAATCTTAATTCAGAAGTTTGTTTTACTCTGGGGCTTGATTTTTTTTTTAATATTCTTTATTTTTGTTTTTATTTACTTTTATATTTATTTTTAAGTAGTTTTCAAGTCCTAGATCCGGTTATCTTTCAAATGACACACAACCTTGGTTTTTGTTTTGCCTGAACAAAATTGAAATTTACAGAAACTCAAATGATCCAGACTCTTGATTTTTTTTTAACAAAGTTTTCCTAAGTTTAAATAAGTCCCTGGATTTAAATAGCCTTCTAAAAAAAATATTGTTTCACTTTCCTACATGATTGGTGATATCATTATTCCCTGAGAATATTTGTATCATTGTAGTCATTTCAACACTCCTGAGTCATTCATTCTTGACCTGTCCGGCGATGAGATTTAAGCTCGTGACTATGGCTTGAGAGGTATGGATGTTAATCACTACGTCCATCCCCATAATGTATGGACCGATGAATGGACGACTTGTAGTTAATTGGAATGTCAGTCTAGAAAAACAATTTCATAATTTTCAGAAATGCAGAAAAACATTTTAATTTTTTAAATGCCAGATATCCATGTTTCAAGACTTCAAGTCAGCACATCGCAAAATCTGCACATGTGGTGATTTATAATAAATTTTCGAATATCATTGTTACAAATTTGCAAGCGAATCATGCTTTTTCCGTTAAAATATGTTACATCTGAGATCATGCAAATTGTCTAGATTTATAGTAACAATCCAGCCAAATTGTATCCGTCCAAACGACACGATATATGTTTTAGCACTCTTACAGAAAAACTTCAACATATGTATATGTGGATGGTCTTCAAAAATTAATTACCAATAATATATTCATACAAATCTTTCGCAATGAATTATACAATGAGCTAACGGAATCGATTACTTGAAGAGAGGTCCCAAATAATCGAAAACATTGAACAAAGATAAAGTTTAAATTGTTGCCAATACCAGTCAAACAACAACTATAAGAACTCAAAATGCGTAATGATGTAACATTGCCTTCACTACCATGATCGATCAAAATCGGAAATTGAGCCACATTACCTTCCACTTTGGAAGTAACATTCGGACAGTATGCAAAAGTGTGTTAATTTCAAAAGCTCATTTCGAACCAATTAGTTCTTAGCTGAAATCTCACTATACAGTTCAACATAGTAACAAAACCAAAGCACTTCACAAATGGATCAAATGAAGTTGCTATGCATTTTGTTTCCCGAAGCCTACTTTCAAACAAAGGTTCTATTTGCTTCAATTTAAACAAACGCAAGGGCTTCCAATCTACTCGAGAAACCCTTCGTCGATCCACTTAAAACCCACAGTCATCATCACCCAATTCTGCTAATTAGTGATAATTACTACCCTCTCGATCTTGAAGAAAACAGCCTTCGACTTTCGAAAAGTGCTCCATCCAAGAGCACAAACTGTAACTTCTACCCTCTAATTAACAGCGTGGCGTCATTAATGTTGACTCACTACTATGCGCTGCTGTGTGCTGTTGTTGCAGGGTACGTTAATTTATTTTCAAGTTTCTTAGAACGTTCCATCTCTGAACCAGCAAGACGCAGAGTTTCCACACTTTCCGATCGTTGAAGTCTCCACTATCGTCTAGCTACAGAGCACGCTGACGAAAATGTGCTTCGGGGAAGATGGATTCAATCTAAGCACTCCTTAAAACCCAGCAACATTTATGTCGAGTTGACATAACACACACGCACACATACAGCTGTCTACGGTTTATCATTTATTTTGTAACCCTATTTGGAACGTCCCCCTGGACCAACGCATCAAGCACAAAAGATCCAGTACAAGGTAGATTACATTTGCTCTTTGGACAACGCCCCATTTTTTTTTTTTTGGCCCTCAACCACAACTATGCAAAATTGCCAATTGGAAGACGAACTTCTACAACAACAACAGCAGCACAGTAGCGGATCGCTCCCCCACCGGTGCATCAGCTACGTAGCGATGAAGGCCCTCGACGAAATGCGACTCAGCAATACGCTGTGCGACGCCACCATCACACAGGATGATTTCACGTTTCCGGTTCACCGCGCCATTCTGGGGTCGTGCAGCGATTACTTCCGGACGCTGTTCACCACTTCGCTGCCCAGTAAAAAGGATCACATATCGATCGACGGAATCCGGGGGGTCATCATGGATCGGATCATCAAATACGCCTACCTAAGGGAGCTGGACATCTCCGAGAAAGATATGTTCGAGGTGTACGCAGCGGCGGATTTCCTGGGAATGGCCAGTTTGCAGGAACGATGCATTCAGTACATCAAAAGCGTCTTACGTACGGACAACTGTGTGCAGATTATGATCTACGGGCGACAACGGCACTGTTCTACACTGTACGAGTATACTAGGAAATACGTGTTGAAGAACTTTATAGAGGTATCCAGACGGTGTCCAGATTTGATGAAGGTGGACCTGGACGACATCTATGCGCTGTTGAGCGATGAATTGTTAAACGTAAAGGATGAAGAACCGGTTTGGGAATGCTGTATACGATGGATAGATACTGATCCGGTGAACAGAGCTGACCACATACCATGGTTGATGAGAGCGGTTCGGTTAGGGTTGCTAAGAACACAGTATTTTCTGGAGAAAGTCAAAGAAAACCCGTATGTGTTGGGCAACGAAGAAACGAAACCGATCATTATTGAAACGCTGACGTTTTTGTACGACCTGGACATGGTGAATACCAAACATAGTAAGGTAAAGAAAGTAATAACGATGATTTGTTTTAGATAACCTAACCATTGCTTTCCTAATAGATCAAAACTCCTCCACTAGCTTTGCCAAGACTACCGTATGATATTATTTTCACCTTTGGAGGCTGGAGCGAAGGTCTGCCGCAATCGGCTATCGAAACGTACGACACCAGAGCGGATCGATGGATCAAAATAGATGCCGGTAATCGGACGGAAGCTCGAGCTTACTACGGAGCTGCCGTTCTCGGGAGCGTGGTATACTGTATCGGTGGCTACGATGGCGTGGAACACTTCAATACCTGTCGCAAATTTGACGCCATAAGCAAGGTTTGGACCGAGATAGCTCCGATGCACTGCCGTCGGTGCTACGTCAGTGTAGTGGTGCTCGATGGACTGATCTACGCCATGGGAGGTTACGATGGACATAACCGACAGAACACGGCCGAGTGTTACAATCCCCGGACTAATCAATGGACCATGATTGCACCAATGCACCAGCTGCGCTCGGATGCAGATGCTTGCACTTTGGATGGCATGATCTACATTATCGGAGGATTCAACGGTCAGGAATGTATGAACTCGGCAGAAGTGTATGACCCCATAGAAAACACCTGGAGCGTGTTACCGAACATGATGAACCGACGATCTGGAGTTTCGTGCATTGGGCACAGGGGAACGGTGAATGTGCTCGGAGGTTTCAATGGCCTCATACGGATGAATACCTGCGAGCGATTTGATCCAGTATCTCGACGATGGCAGAACTTTAAGGAAATGTACCATCAAAGAAGTAATTTTGGGGTGGAGGTCATCGACGATATGATCTTTGCTATCGGTGGCTACGATGGGGTTGGTGAATTTTGTTTGGTTTGAGTTCCCTAAATAACTAACTTGTTGTCGTTGTTCTAAAGGTTAGTGCAATCTCCCACACGGAATGCTACGCAATGGATTCCAACGAGTGGCTGGAAGCTACGGATCTCAATCAGATGCGTTCAGCGTTCAAGGCGGTCATCATCTCTGGACTGCCCAACGTTCGTGACTACATCCACAAGGATCGAGAGAATCTGATGGCCGAACGGCGGCAGAAGTTATTCAATACGGAGCTTGAAGGCGAAGATATGGAGATCGATTCTACAAGTACTATTAACGACATCGATTGAAGGGTTTATGATTTGTGGTCAAAATTGAACATGTTTAACCAAATTTATAGTTTCCCAAACCAAATTAAACAGCAGATGGATCGGTTTGTGAACAACAAAGTATAGGTGTGTCTTCGTTTCGCATGACACGTTTTAGTGGTACTGTTTCTGTTGCAATTCCCACCTAAATAGTGATAATAACAATCACAGTGGCACAGCGTTGGTGGCATCGCTGTTGTGTTATGCAATGCAGCTTTTGTTTTGATTCAACGTTGTCTTCGTTTATTGTTTTCGGTTTTGAAACCGTCACCGTCGCTGCTGCTCTACTACAGTCAGTGTGTGTCTACATGGTAGGGCAATTGCCAACCCATTCCTGCGGGTAGTTCAATCGAGGAAGACAAACAAAATTAATTTCAACTATTAATTGGTACCAGCTTTTTGCTTTACTACATCCAACTACGACGACCAACGACGACGATGCGATGTAGGTTTTAGGAAGAGCAAACGACGCGGTAACAATTCACTGCCGTGTTCCAAACATAAGCGTGGCATTTAGCGCTGCGATTTGAAAAAAGGGCTCATTTTTCGAGCCGATTGCATCGGTTTTTCGCCCGAGTTGTTTAGAGAGCGCTTTTAACTAGTAACACTTATTAAATCAAACGCAAACGTCTAGCCTGATGTGAGGAAGATAAAGAGGAAATTGCGGTGAGCAGTTCACAAAGGTACAAGCGCGCTTCGGATCGAGATTGTGGTGCTGTGTAACAGTGAGTTCTCATCATTGATTCCTAACTGTAATCATCGAAAACAAAATACAAAACATGGCATAAACGGAGCGAGGGATGGGGGATTTAGTAAACAAGCAGTTCTAATGGTTCCCAGGTTTGATGAAACTGCCGCTCGTGGAACGTGTAATGAATATTCATTGGGGCAGAAGAAAACACAGCCATTAGCTGCGCTGCCCTGTGCATGTTACTACATTGTGTGTAGGAAAGTATGGTTCTAGCCGTATCATAACTTGTTTCCGATGATGATTATCTCCGGTGATCAACGGTCGGTACCCAGCTTATGCGGCGTTCCCCCGGATGGATGTTCGTCATGCTGCATTTCAAGTTCGGTTATTACGGGATGTTAAACTGCATGTTTAACTTGATGATCATCATGATTTATGTCTGCTGTGTGCAGTAGCTTCTTATTGTATGGAATACATATATGAGGTTTCAGGCTAGTTAATAATGTATGCATATTGATTATTTCATCTAACAGAGGAATTCACTAACAGCTTGGTGTAAAAGATAAACAGAATCTGAAAAAAAACCAGGACATTCATAGATTATGTAATGTAACGGGTGTTCAATAAAAAATGAGAATGATTTCAGTGCCGTCCAGCGCTCTTGTGAGAGCATCGCGACTAAGTTGCGTCGTACGTCGTCGTTGAACACCCGTTAGTTGTTATTACGCATTCATAAGTTGGTTGTACACCAATGTAAACGAATCAAAAAGAAGCCTGGAGCTCCGGAAAACTCCAGAACACCGGTATCTTCCAAAACATTTAAACCCATGGAGCATGGAACAGTCAAAATTTGTCATTGGTGAAAATGGATCAGTTACAAGCAACTAACTTCTTCATTTTTCAAACAACGCAATGCTTTAGCGGAAAAATTCTTTCATGAAAAATGAAACAACTAAACTTGTTATCGCTAGGAATTTTAACAAGTCCTTAAATTTTCCGGTGACCATTTTCAAGTGTTCAAATTTGATTTAAAAATTATAGAGGCCGTCAACTTTGGTCATCAATATCATAAGTAATGGAAATGGATGTAATGTCGGCCTAAATGCTCCTAATTTTGGCCCATACATAAATTCAGCAATCGATTAAATTTTCAATAGCGACCGAAAATATCCATTAGTACCGTCCCAATGACCCGTTTATCTAGATAAAATTGATAAATAGCAGATTTTTAGCGATGCCAATCTTAGATCCATAGGCCAACATGAGAGCCATTTACCCTATTTAGTATGAAAGTGCTTGTTTTTTTATCCAGTAGATCATTTCCCTACTCAGTAAGGAGCATTTCCTCCGAAGACAATACACTTGCAAAATCCATAATTTCTACTGTAAACCACATTTTTACTGCAACCCGAAATGCATTCATTCCTCCCAGTAATCAACTGGGTATGAATATGTAGGTATAGTAGGGTTACGGGATGTAATGTCAGAGTAGCCCCTCACTTCGGCCTATCAAGCAAATAACTCATTCATTCAGCAATAATACACAATAATTATGAAAAACCAATACCACATCTGCTGCAAAATTCAATTGCCTATTTTTGGGACAAAATTTGAACATTTATTGCCCTTTTTTTTTAATAAAAAGATTAGTAAAATTATCTTAATTTTTGATTTCTAGGCGCCATGATCTTACCGTATTATTGCACTAACGAAAATCTACGCAACGGGGGTCATCAAAAAATCTGATCATTGCATGAATTGAATAAGACTTACTTTTTTGTAACATGCTAGCCTAATAAATCAACATCACACTTTTCATTTTTATAACAAATTTAGAAGATTCCACGCTTTTAGCGCTTTATAACTATGGACCGAACTTTGGGGACATAATTTTGAAACGTGTTCCTAATTATGACCTGCGAACTTTATTTGATAACTTTGTTTTGGTATTGGTGAAACCATTCGCGTTGCCGATTACTCTGCAACTGTTCACTCCTATAGGAAAATGCCATAAGCAAATGTCGTTTTTCGTGAAACATAGCGGATCGTTTCTATCCTTTCACTCCACTGAAAAATCCCGTAGGCATAATGTTAATCTTTGCTTGAAACGAGGGGTCGACACGGTACACACGCTATTTCTAAGCAACCCAAATTTGCGAAGGATCTACTCATATTCGTCAAAAGTAGGGTACCCCAAATTAGGTAAACACAGTTTAAACTAACAAGATGACGAATGGAAAACATCGACCTGAATTCGAACGAAGTTGTTCATTTGTCACCTTGTCAGTTCCAACTTTGTTTGTTCAATTTAGTGTAGTGTAGGATATGAGTAGATCCTACTCAAATTTGGGTTGTTAAGAAATAGCGTGCAATCAATCCTCCATTAAAACAAACTTCACGGCAAATGAGGATCAACAATAGAAAAGGGCCCAGCAGCATTTGTAAACAAACCGTTCCAAAGCCCTTTACTCACAAAGCGAAGGCCACCCACGCAAACCAACATCATCATCGGGTAGGGGAAACTTCCACCTACACGTTGATGGTATTGGTTTGTGTGGGCAGCCTTCTATTTGTGAGGAATGGACTTTAGAACGGTTTGTTTACAAATGCTGATGGGCCCTTTTCTATTGTTGATCCAGATTTACTCATATATGAGTGGAATTTACTCACATTAGAGTAAAAATTTACTTATTCTATAAGTAAACTACGTTTTTGCTCAATTGAGTGAACGCGATTCAAATATGAGTTATACCCCGTTCACATTACAGCGTATATCACGTGATATACGCTGTCTTGCAATGAGCACTCATACATCTAGTTTTCACTGGAAATCCTATGTATGAGTGCTCATTGCAAGACAGCCTGTGACAGGCTGTAATGTGAACGGGGTATTAGATTATTTTAACGTGCAAGCCCTTCCAAAAATATCAAGCTGAACAATGCATTGGATCCAAAATTAACATTGATCGATTCTCCTCGTCAACTTTATCTTTCATTAATTACTTGGCTACAAAACCGTTTCTAGTCGTATTTTCCGTATTAAATGCAAGATAATAGCATGGAATCGAACTATGTGTTGAAAATAGCTTGCAAAGAGAAAATCTACAAAGAAAATCTGTCAATGTTACATTGTTCAGCTTGCTAATACTTGACTTGACAGTTCGTTATATGTGTGTTCGTGAGATGATCTATTTGGCTTTATTTTTATTCTAAACGCATCGTGATTTATGTTATCTGGATCAACCGAAAGAAAAAAAAAAACACTGTCTCTTTCATCCACATCAGTTCTTACGCGAGAAGTGAAAGTGACGTCAACAATGTGTTAACGTATGAATGAAAAAGAAGTGTGATTTCACATGTCGAACCTTTGTAGATCGAGGTCCATCTTCGATAGGACGAAGTTGCATCCATTTATAGACCCATTTTGAGTACAGTAGACCGAAATTACATCCACGTACCTGCACGTACCACGTTTTCATGTTATAATGAATATGTTAAACATATTTCAGTCGTGCCTAATCAATATCCAAATAATAAGAATATCTAAGCTTACATCTTGACAGTGAAATATAAACTGCAACTCAATCAATAAAATGTAATTGATGGTGTCATATTCGACCGAGGTTAGGGACATATACCCTATGATATGGAACTGCCGCACAAAGCAGAGAATAAAAAAAGCCACTGAACCTCTCATAGATGAAAGAATTTGCAAGAAAAACCATCAGTACCGAGAACATGGTCAAGCTCACGCGTGACGCTTTTCGATTGCTATATTTGGTGAACTTAGTTAGGTATATCTTTTGTTTTTTTCAGGGGGGAATATTCTGCAAAAATTACCAATAAATGAATACGAAAACAATGATTATTCGGCATTGTCCTCAAGTTTAAAAATGGTGTTCAAAAACTGAACAATACGATGATTGAGTGGTGAAAAACATGCAAAATCCAATAACAAATCCCAAAATTGAAGCAGCTACTGGCGAAAATGACGGAAGTTCATTACCGGAAACGGCAAAGCACATTAATTTTATATAATAGAAACGTAAAACGACATTGCAAGGTGAATACAATCTATTGGAACACTGTATCAATTATTTTTTTTCTGTTGTAGGGGGAACGCACCTATTTTGACCATGTTTTGACGATATTTAACGTTTTTTACAATTTTGAGGGCTTGAGTTCTGTTAAGATTGATGATTCAAATGTTCATCGGGGTACACATACATATCGCCCACAAAACGCAGGAAGATTGTGATTCAATCGTTTTCATAAGGTATGGCCGAAATAGGAAACTATGACTAATGCTGGTGCACTTACCCTACTACCAATTTAAGCAAAATATTTTGAAATTAAAAATTATTTCGATTTATTCGCGTTCCTTTTTCGGTTACT